ACCCACAAATCCTCTTCACACTCAACTCTAACCACCTTGGATGGGATTTTCCATCTCTCACTGCTTCAACACACCCAAAATATCTATGTGAATCTTGGGCACTCCACTTTCTTTCTCACCTCCTCTCTCCTCCTACCTCATCCTTTCTTTTCTGATTTGTTCCAACCCTTTCTCAGGTAAAGAGTTCTAAACTCTCCAGGTTTCTCTTTTTATGATCTTCACACAGTTAAAAAAAATTAAAGACCAACACACAAATGAAAAATTTCTTAAAAGCAAAGAAAATTATAGTGAACATCATAAATTGCATTGTGTTCCTTATATACAAATGCAGACTTTGAATTTAATTTCAAATGGTTCACAGATCCCATAAACATGCTGGACCCAAAATTCAGAACACCAGAAACTCATTTCTCAGAAACCAAGGTGCTTGGAAGAAACCCAGCTAGGACAGAGAGTCAGAGTAGGAGGTGGCTGAGAGAAGATCAATATCCAGAGGACCAGAAAAAAAAAAAAACCAAGAAAACCAAACCTGGACCCAAACAATAGGAATCTGCAGTAAAGGGAATAGAGAACCAAGGCCCCACATTAGGAAAATGAAAATCCTAAAATGACAAATATGATTTCTGAAGTTTTTTGGAGACCAGCAATTTATATCCCCAGTTCCAATCCTGTTTCATCCAGGCTCTGCTCACAACTGAACTCTGCAGTGTCACTGTACCAACAGTTAAATGCGATTGAGAAACTGAAATTAAAATTTAAAAAAGACATTTGGGAAATTACAAAAAAAGAAGAAGAATTTAGGGCTGAGGTTGTGGCTCAGAAGTAGAATGCTCGTCTACCATGCATGAGGCACTGGGTTTATTCCCCAGCACCACATAAAAATAAAATAAGGGTATTGTGTCCATCTACAACTAAAAAATGCTTAAAAACTGAAGAGTGTTTAAAAGATAGGAATATGAGGTGACTTCCTTGATCCAAACAGAAGGAGTCTCTGTGGTCTTCCAATGCAACTTACAATCATTTTTCTCTCCATTTAGGAGAATTTTGCTTTCCTATTGTACTTGGCTTTGGTTAGTTTGGCAGGGGGCAGATTAACATGTGATGATTATGAAAGAAAAAAAAAAGAAGAGAAGTTAAAAGTGTTAACTGGGAGGGGTAGGAAACAAATTAAAGAAGAGAGAGCAGGAAACTCATCCCATCCTGGGTGGAGGACACTGATACAGAAGGCCAGAGCAGGAGCCAGGAGGAGGGAAGGCCAAGGAAACATCAGAGTCACTTACCTGCATACAGGAGGGCCTTCCTCCAGGCTGAAAGGGAACACACAGTGGTGAGACCACAGCTAAAACAAGCCTGCTCAGCATGAATGTACCTCCCCTGGTCTTCCCTCCATTCTAAAGATGAGACTACCCACAGGAGGAGAGAGTCAGAAAGAGATGGCCTCTTGCAGTATGCAGGGTCCACAGGGAGTTGGGGGAAATCCCCTGGACCACAGATCAAGATGGCTGCTTTACAGGCCAATTGATGCCATTGCCCCACTGATTTCTATCTGTCAGAAAACCATCTGCCTCAAAACTCATAAAAGTCCATATTCTATTTGTCTTTATTCAGTTTTGCCACTAAGGATAAAAATTATGCTATGTGTAAAAATATTTGAGAAAATAAAATATAATTCACTCTGCAATTGTCAGGGGTATTATTATTATATCCAGGCTTTTTCTGGCAAAGATATATTTGAAAAGGGGTGGGGATGTACACCGTGATAGAGGGCTTGTCAAGCATGCATGAGGCTTCAGGTGCATGCATCAGCACCACAAAATGAAAAAATTAAAATTTAAATTTGAAAAGACACTTGGGAGATTACCAAATATGAAGAATGATTTAGAGACAGCAATGAGTTCTGTGGTAAAACTGCCCAATCTTTCACTTTGGTAAATATTTCTAGACAATAAGAACCAGTTTTTAGGAAATACTTGGTTCACTCTACCACATTTCCAACTGTGATGAGCAGCCCCATTGAATTAGCACCTTCAGGAGCTAGAGAAAACATAATCCCTCACTGGCAATTTGTAGGGACACAAACAGAAGGTCACACTTCTAAACTTAATGACACCATGTACTTATATAGATCATTTAATAAAATCATACTTTATGCCTTTAATCTATTAGGTGGAGTCCAACAGCTAGATGCATTGAAGGAAAAAAAAACACAAAATAATGGGCAATCCAGGGTTGAAATAAGATAGAGAATACATGAGACACCATGGGTCACCATCACATCCAGGTTTCCAAGCACTAGGAAGGAAATAGTAGCCCATATCAAGGAATGCCCAGGGAGCAGTGTTCTGGCTTCCACTAGCTTCCCAAGGATGGGACCCCACATGTCTGTGCCTAGACAGAAACAAGTACAGGGTCACCAGAACACAGGTAACATAAGGAAACAAGAATTATCTGGAGAGTCACTTACCAGACAGATAAGCTTCTTTTCTCTGATCTGAAAAACAACAAGAAAGAAGAGAGCTTGGTACTAGAGCATGTGCTACCAAGGAAACAGAAAATTCAGAAAGAAAAAAAGAACTTACAGAGGTCTGCCATGAGTTCATCTAAAAAAAAATGAAAAAAAGTATGAACACACATCCCCAAGAAAAGGAAAGACTGTGCCTGGAAAAACCTAGGAATAATGTTTCTGTTCACTAGAATTTTTAACTACAAACCCACCCAACCCCACTAGTCTCTAGCTCTCCACTCTGATCTACTCAGTTACCTCCTCTAGGCCCAGGACCATGGGTCTCCCTAGAGAGCTGGACCCCAGACTCTGGCCCCTGTCAGCTGTCCCTCACCAACAGGTCTGAACTTGCCCTGTGGGGTCTTACCAATGGCCTTCAGTGCCTCTTCCTTTGCCTGCTGTTCCTCCTCCTTAAGCCGCAGCAGATGCTCCTTTTCCTGCCTCCTTCTAGAATGTGCTTTTCTGATAAAATAGCTAGTCCCCAAGAGTAGGAGCCCCAGCATGGTCAGGATCACAGCAAATGCTGGCTTCCAGGGAGAAGCCTGAGGGAAGAAGGGCTCTGTGGCCCAGGCAGACAGAGGTCAGGGGCACACCCAGGAGAGCCAGCACACTCAGAGAGGCCAGCCCTCCCCACAGCTCTGCTGGGAGTGGGAAGCAGCACTGACCTGGGATGTAAATAGCCATGGCCTTCTCCTGGCCCAGGACAGGGTTGAGGACAGAGCAGGTCACATTCCCCACAGAACTGTCTCTCACCACCAGAGTGGCCTCCACACTAAACAGCTCCTCACTGTCTTGGGTGTGGGCCTCAGAAAGTGCTGGGAACTTGTTTCCACTGAGGTCTCTCCACTGCACCTGGGGCTTTGGGAACCATCCTGAGGCTTTGCACACCACGCGCACTCCATCCTCTTCTGGCCCTTCTATGTGCACTTGGGGGTCAGAGCCCATCCCTGTGGGAAGGAAGGAAGCTGTGTAGCCCCAGGAGGCCACCTTGTGCTTGAGACCCCACAGTTGCCAAGACATTACACAACTTCAGGGGAAAGATTTTCATGTTTAATTCTGGGAATTCTATGGGAAGAGGGAAGGAAAGGAAGGAGCACAGGGACCCCCAAAGGGCAGTGGGCTCTTCTCCCCAACTGTGAAGCCAAGGCAAACAGGAAGAATTTGGTCCCAGGACTCCCTCCTTGAATCTCACTCTTCTCACCCTCACACACTCTCCTGAGACATCTGCCTCTCTGTATATCATGTCCACAATTATACTGAGTGACCACCTTGTCTCCTGAATTCTCTTCTCCTACACCCATGTTCCCATGAGTTATCTTTACCCAGTTTCCTCACATGCACCTCAAACTCCAAACTCCAAACTGAATTTATAAATTTGTATCACTTGTGATGAAACAAAAATTAAAATCTCCCTAATTCCTCACCCTTATTTATACCTAGTTCTCCCACTTCCACACACTTTTTACAGCCTTTATCTTCTGCCTCTGGGCCCAGGCATGGGATTTGATTTAGCCAATAAGAAATTAGCTAATGTGACTAGTGCAGAGGTTTGAAAAGCACTTGCACTTGGTTTTACTCTCTTCCATTTCCACAGGAGGACAATCCTGGGCTATCCAGTGGAGAATGGACTCCTGTGACATTGCCTGGTCAACCTGCTACAGCTGCCCTAGTTCAGCCAAATGACCACCTGAAACATGAGCACACCCAACCAAGGTGCACCTGGTGAACTTTTCAGCTGATTTAAGAACAAATAAAAATTACAAGTAAAAAGCTTAATTCTCCCTGTTGAATAAAAGATTTTATTCTTTTTTCTTATACCATTTGCTTTAGGAAATGTCAATTACAAATAGGCACTTTCTCCTCCTTTGAAATGTTTATATATGATTTTGAAAACTGGTTAGGTTTTCTGCCAGCTTTGTGGCTCAGGAATGCCTTTCTCAAGGACCTGGGAGCTATTTCTTTGAAATGTAAACATCAGGGAAGATAGCAACACTTTGCCCCCTTTTTGTGGAAAGATAGGAGCCTAATATATGTGGGTATCTTGCTCCAAGTTGTAAAACTGCTTCCTGTCATAAAGCTGGAGGAGCTTATTTTGCTTCCAGATAAAGCCTATTATATGACACAGATGGTCTCCCAAACTACCAGGTAAATTTAGGATGAGTTTTATGGAACAACAGTGCTTTGAGCTGTCTTAGTTGAGGATTACTCATTGTTCATCATGAAAACAAATATACAGGAGATTATATATGATTGGCTCTAAAGAGAATGATGAAATTATTTTTCTGGTTGTGTAATCCATTCACAGATCACCATACTATATATCACACTCTGGTTTGATGCTTTTTAAGTAATAAAAGTGTTTTCTCCTAGCATGGAAGGGATATTCTGGTTGTAATTATGTTTCTGAAATATGACCAAAGATGTGAGTAAACCCAGGTGAGATAAGCCAAGTTCAGCCCCAATGAGTTGAACTCACTTAGTGCCTGAATTAAATACATTTTTATTGCCAAATGCACCTGAGATTGTGGCTGTTTGTTACAAAGCATTATCACAGCAATAGAACTGACACATAATTATCAATAGTCCTGCCACAAAACAACAAATGGTTCAAATAAAATCCTGGAAGTCTCTGAACTCTTCTCCTCCTGTTCCAAATTCTGTGCCCACAAATCTACTCAGTTGACTCTAGTTTCTAAACCTGTCTGATCCCTCCTCTCCCATCCCACTGCCATGCCTCAGGTCAAGCACTCATTCTCTCCACATCATAACTGCACTCCAGGCCTCCTTCTTGCTCACCTCCCATCCATCCATTCACAACTGCCAACATGAGCATTCCCAGCATGGCTCTGTTTAAGATTACCCATACTCTGCATCCAAACTCCATAACACAGCACACAAAGCCTTTACTGACCTGGTAACTGCCTTCCTCTCCAACACTTGTTCCCAAACTCCACCATCTGATACCCTCAGGGCCCACATACTCAATCCCAAGAACTATCTGCTCAAATGCAAGTAGCCACCATCACCATGTTGTCTGCCCTCTGCCTTTTCACCTTCCATCCCATCAACATTCAGGGCTCTTGTGCCAGCTCTGGTGCGTACTCCTAATGATCTCATCCTGACACCTATGAGTGGTTTTAATACAGGACCATCTCTTTATTCCAGTATTGCCACTTCTAACCATCCTCCCCTTACTCCTCCTACCAACCATGATGGCCTCAATATACCCAGAATAATCAACCAAACTCCTACTCCAAAGGTATCATACCAGATGCTCCCTCTGCATGAATAGGATATCAGGCCCCACAGATATCCACCTGGCTAAATACCTACTTCCTTTGAGCCTTGCTCAGACTGTCATTAAGGCTCTGCCCAAGCCCCTATGTAACACTACAGCTTGTCCCAACTTCCCAGCCCACATCCTCTGCCCCTTTCTTAATTCTATTTGGTCTTTTGTCTTAAGTAATTATCATCTTATCACATCTTCTATTGAGTTTTTTATTATATTTTTTTCCATTGTCTCTTGAAAGTAAACTCCTCATGGCTTGGTTCTCTGTTACACTGATATATCTCTGGTGCACAGAATAAGTCCTCACATATTTTAGATGCCCCTAAACAGTGCTTGTATTGAATCAATGAATAAAAGAAAGCCACTTTTTTCTTTCATTTCACCTTTAAAAATGTGAGGCTTAATTTGAATAATTCTTGATATTCCTACCAAACCCAGTACTCCCAAGGTCTCTAGAATAGACATCAAGAAACTAACCTGCCACATTCACTTCCAAATCAGCCTCTTCATAGAAGCCTCCATGTCTGAAGTAGCAGGTGTACATTCCATTGTCAGAAACCTGGACCTTGTGGATGTGCACAGAAGCCTGCCCTTCTGAAAGGAAGTCCCTCACCAGTGAGGTCCGCCCTCTGTACTCAGCCATCTGCTCCTCAGACTGTTCCTGTTGGTTCCAGTAGATGAACACTGCCTGTGAGAGCGTGGTGCGGAACCACCCCAGTTCCATGTTCTCTACATTCATGGCTGGGAATAGGGCGCGGGGCAGTATGGCATCCTCGCCCAGCACTGCCACAATGGGATGTCGAGGGCCAACAACCTGGAACTGCTCTGTGAACACAGACATAGGAGGAAGGAAGTTAGAGAGACACAGACCAAAAAACAGAGAACACACACCACCAGGTGGGCAGGCTAGGAAAGCTGGGACAGGGGCCACATGAGATGTCCCCTCCAGTCTGATAGATTTGGAAGAGGTCTTCTGATCATAATGATGTGGACAGAAATTATGTCAAGGACAATCCTTCATTGTCTTCTGCTCCTGGTCCCAGGCCCTTCCATGAAGTAATCTCTAATTCAGTGGTTGTCAAGCGTTCATGCCCCTGAACCACTAGGCTGCCTTATAGAGCACACAACACTGGACCCCCATTCCAGAGCATCTCCTTCACTAGATCTGGGGTGGGCCAATGAATGTACATATACAGATTGATGTGTGATGATTATGACAAAAAAAAAACAAGAGAAGTTAAAAGTGTTTACTGGGAGGGGAAACAAATTAAAGAAGAGAGAGCAGGAAACATATCCCATCCTGGGTGGAGGCCACTGATACAGAAGGTCAGAGGAGGATCCAAGAGGAGGATCCAAGAGGAGGGAAGGCCAAGGAAACATCAGAGTCACTTACCTGCATACAGGGGGGCCTTCCTCCAGGCTGAAAGGGAACACACCTAACCCTAACCCTAACCCTAACCCTAACCCTAACCCTAACCCTAACCCTAACCCTAAGGCAAATACTAAAAGTTTAACGAACTTTTAGTATTTGCCTTTAAGCTTCTAAGTGCAAACCAACAGCTAGATGCACTGAAAGCTAAAAATTCATATTCTCACATGAGACCCACACAGGTGATGGTAATGTGGTTCCCATCAGTGGAATATGCTGGCTGCAAAATGAAACCTAAGAAAAATAAAATGACGAAAAAAACCACAGGACACAGAAAATATTTTTAGAAAGCAGGGGTGGGACAGGGTAGTCGATCATACAGATCGAGCTTCTATTCTAAACCTGCAAAATGGAGCCCATGCTTGCTTTTTTTATATCAGGGAACATCAAAGGCCTTCCATACAATGTCCTTCACCAAAAAAAGTCATAGGTGGGCTGTCCAGTTCCCAATGGGTTACACCCACCTCCTCAGCTACTATGAGGTTATCTAGTAGGTTGTGGATAAAGGTTATATGTCTTGAGAAATCTATTGCATGGGAGAGCCACAGATAGTTTCCAAGGTAAATCCTAAAACCTTCCTGGCTGCCAAAACTAAAGAAGACCCTCAAATAATTCATGGATGGCATCCCGCACAATATATCGTGGGCAAGCCAAGGTTGAAATGAGATGCAGAATACATGACAAACAAGGGGCCACCATCATACCCAAGTTTCCAAGCTCTAGGTAGGAAATAGCAGCCAAGATCTAGGAAAGCTCAGGGAGCAGGGTTCTGGCTTCCACTAGCTTCCAATTAGCTTCCATGGATGGGGACCCACATGTCTGTGCCTAGATAGAAAGGAGAAGGGACACCAGGTAGGATAAGAAAACAAGAGATACCTGGAGAGTCACGTACCAGACAGATAAGCAGCTTTACTCTGATCTGAAAAAAAACCACACAAGAAATAGGGGAGCTAGGAACTAGAATGTCTGCTAACAAAGAAACATACAAAATTCAGGCAGGAAAGCAGAATTTGCTGAGATCTGCCTGGAGTTCATTTGAAAGAAAATGAAAAACAGCATGAACGCCCATCCCCAAGAAATGGAAAGACTGTGTGCCTGAAAAACCCCAGAAAAACATTTCTATTTATTGAATTTCTATCTACAAACCCACCCAACCACACTGACTCTAGCTGTCCTCTTTGATCTCCTCATTCACCTTCTCTAGGCCCAGGACCCTGGATCTCCCTAGAGAGCTGGACCCCAGACTCTGGCCCCTGTCAGCTGTCCCTCACCACCAGGTCTGCACTTGCCCTGTGGGGTCTTACCAATGGCCTTCAGTGCCTCTTACTTTGCCTGCTGTTTCTCCACCTTAAGCTGCCACAGGTGCTCCTTTTCCTGCCTCACCTGCCTCCTTCTGGAAAGTGCTTTTCTGATAAAATAGCTAGGTCCCAAGAGTAGGAGCCCCAGCATGGTCAGGATCACAGCAAATGCTGGCTTCCAGGGAGAAGCCTGAGGGAAGAAGGGCTCTGTGGCCAGGGAGACAGCAGGTCAGGGGCACACCCAGGAGAGCCAGCACACTCAGAGAGGCCAGCCCTCCCCACAGCTCTGCTGGGAGTGGGAAGCAGCACTGACCTGGGATGTAAATAGCCATGGCCTTCTCCTGGCCCAGGACAGGGTTGAGGACAGAGCAGGTCACATTCCCCTCAGAACTGTCTCTCATCACCAGAGTGGCCTCCACACTAAACAGCTCCTCAGTGTCTTGGGTGTGGGCCTCAGAAAGCGCTGGGAACTTCTTTCCACTGAGGTCTCTCCACTGCACCTGGGGCTATGGGAACCATCTTGAGGCTTTGCACACCACACGCACTCCATCCTCTTCTGGCCCTTCTATGTGCACTTGGGGGTCAGAGCCCATCCCTGTGGGAAGGAAGCTGTGGAGCCCCAGGAGGCCACCTTGGGCCCTGGGTCCTCAGTGTTGCCAAGATATTATACAACTTCATGGGGAAGGTTTTCCATGTTGAATTCTGGGGGTTCTATCAGAAGGGTCACCTACCAGAGGGAATTAAAGGAAGGAGCATGACCCACACTGGGCAGTGGGCTCTTCTAGCAAACTGTGAGGCCAGAGGCAACACAAAGAATTTGTTCCCAAGGCTCCCTCCATGAATCTCAGTCTTCTCACCTCACACACTCTCCCGGGACATCTGCCTCTCTGTGTATATCACTTCCAAAATTGTATTGCATGACTACCTAGTTTCCTGAATTCTCTTCCCCTACACCCATGTTCCCATGAGTTATCTTTACCAGGTTTCCTCACAAACATTTCAAACTCAAAACTCCAAAACTGGCTTCATAATTTGGACCACTTGTGATAAAATGATTATTGAAATATCCCAATTCTTCACCCTTATTTATAGCCAGTTCTTCCACTTCCACTTTTTACTGCCTTTACCTTTTGCCTCTGGGACCAGTCATGGGACTCAAATTGGCAATGAAAATTTAGATAATGTGACTGCAGAGGTTTGAAAAGCACTTGAACATTGCCATTTCCACAGGAGGACAATCCTGGGGTACTCAGTGGAGGATGGACTCATGTGACATTACCTGGTCCACCTGCTTCAGCTGCCCTAGTTCAGTCAAATGACCACCTGAAACATGAGCACACTTAACCAAGGTGCACCTAGTGAATGTTTCTGCTGACTTCAGAACAAATGAAAATTAAAAGTGAAAATCTCAATTGTCCCTGTTGAATAAAAGAAGATTGTTCTCTTTTTCTTCTAGCATTTGCTTTGAGAAACTGCAATTACACATGGCACTTTTTCCTCTTTGGAAATGTTGACACATGATTTTGAAAACTGGCTAGGATTTTGCCAGCTTTGTAGCTCAGGAATTTCTTTCTCAAGGATCTGGGAATCATTTATTTGAAATGTAAACATCAGGGAAGATATCAACCCTTGGCCCCTTTTCTGTGTAAAGGTAGGAGTCAAACTTATATGGGCATCTTGTTCCAAGTTGTAAAACCACCTCATGTCATAAAGCTGGAAGAGTTTATTCTTCTTCCAGATGAAGCCTGTTATATGATAGAGATGGTCTCCCAAACTATCAGGTGAATTTAGAATGACATATGCAGAACAAATTGCTTTGAGCCCTCTTAGTAGAGAATTACTTATTGTGCATCTTGAAAACAAGTATACAGGCTATAGAAAGAAAGATGAAATTCCTTTCTGGTCATGTAATTCCTTAAGAGATCATGCATGATATGTATCATCTGGTTTGATGCTTATTAATTATTTAAAGTATTTTCTCCTAGTATGGGAGATTTTGTTTTTAATTATATTTCTGATACATAACCAAGTATGCAAAACTAAACCCAGGTGATTATTAGCCAAGATCAGCCCCAATTAGTTAAATTTGGTTAGTGCCTAAATTAAATACATTTTTATTGCCAAACATACCTGAAATAATGGCTGCTTGTTACACTGCATTATTACAGCAGTAGAAGTGACACATAATTATCAATAGTCCTGCCATGAAACAACAAATGTTTTAAATAAAATTCTGGAAGTCTCTCAAGTATTTTCTTCCCCCTCCAAATTTTGTGCACACAAGTCTATTCAGTTGAATATGGTTTCTAAACCTGTCTGACCCCTCCTCCCCCACCCCACTGCCATGCCTCAGGTCAAGCACTCATTCTCTCCACATCATAACTGCACTCCAGGCCTCCTTCTTGCTCACCTCCCATCCATCCATTCACAACTGCCAACATGAGCATTCCCAGCATGGCTCTGTTTAGGATTCCCCCTACTCTGCATCCAAACTCCATAACACAGCACACAAAGCCTTTACTGACCTGGTAACTGCCTTCCTCTCCAACACTTCTCCCCAAACTCCACCACTTAAGAACCTCAGGGCCCACACACTCAACCCCAAGAACTATCTGGCTAAGTGCAAGTAGCCAAAATCACCATATTGTATGCCTTCTGCCTTTTTAACTTCCAACCCATCAACATCCAGGGCTTTTGTGCCAGCCCAGGTGTTCACTCCTAATGACTTCATCCTGACACCTGTCAGTGGTGTTAATACAGGATCATCTCCTTATTCCAGCATTGCTTCTTCTTTCCATCCTCCCCCTCTCTCCTCCTACAATCCATGATGGTTTCATTATTTCATTATACCCTGTATAATCAACAATATTTCTAACTCAAAGGTTTCATACCAGGTGCTCCCTCAGTGTTAAATTCTGCCCCCCCCCCACCGAGATAGCCCCCTGGCTAAACATCTACTTCCTTTGAACCTTGCTCAGATTGTCAGTAAGGCTCTGCCTTGGCCTCTATGTAACACTACAGCTTGTCCTAACTTCCCAGCCCACATCCTGTTCCTCTTTTTAAATTCTACTTGGTCTTTTATCTTAAGTACTTATCACCTTATCACATGTTGTACTGGGGTCTATGCTATACTGATATATCTCTGGTGCAGAGAACAAGTCCCCCCATATTTGAGATACCCAATATACAGTGTTTGTATTGAT